AGCATACTGCAAAAGCAACCAAAGAGTTTTTTAAGGGAAAGAAGTGGAATGTTATGCAATGGCCAAGTCAATCACCTGACCTGAATCCGATTGAGCATGCATTTCACTTGCTGAAGACAAAACTGAAGGGAAAATGCCCCAAGAACAAGCAGGAACTGAAGACAGTTGCAGTAGAGGCCTGGCAGAGCATCACCAGGGATAAAACCCAACGTCTGGTGATGTCTATGCGTTCCAGACTTCAGGCTGTAATTGACTGCAAAGGATTTGCAACCAAGTATTAAAAAGTGAAAGTTTGATTTATGATTATTATTCTGTCCCATTACTTTTGGTCCCTTAACAAGTAGGAGGCACATATGCAAACTGTTGTAATTCCTACACTGTTCACCTGATTTGGATGTAAATACCCTCAAATTAAAGCTGACAGCATGCAGTTAAAGCACACCTTGTTTGTTTCATTTCAAATCCATTGTGGTGGTGTGTATAAAGCCAAAAATGTTAGAATTGTGTCGATGTCCCAATATTTATGGACCTGACTGTATTTCCAAAAGTATTGGGACACCCATCCAGGTCATTGGATTCAGGTGTTCCAATCACCTCCATGGCCACAGGTGTATAAAATCAAGCACCTAGGCATGCAGACTGCTTCTACAAACATTTGTGAAAGAATGGGTCGCTCTCAGGAGCTCAGTGAATTCAAGTGTTGTACCTGTGCAACAAGTCCATTCGTGAAATTTCCTTGCTACTAAATATTCCACGGTCCACTGTTCGTGGTATTATAACAAAGTGGAAGCAACTAGGAACAACAGCAACTCAGCCACAAAGTGGACATGCCTAGGTGCTTCATTTTATACACCTGTGGCCATGGATTGGAACATCTGAATCCAATGATTTGGAGGGGTGTCCCAATACTTTTGGCAATAGAGTGTATATTGCAGATTTCCAGTAGATATGGTGGCTGTTTGACTTTTAATTTTTTTAGGCTAGGAACATTTTAAGCAAGTACAGAAAATACCTGTTGATTTTGGCAGAAATGCAGTGTCCTTGTCACCTCCAGTAAGCTTTAAAAAAGAACAAAGGGTCTTATATTTATTGTGTAAACTACTAGTCTTATCAATCTACCATCCAATGGAGATGAACAATGGTAGATATGTTTGAAATCCAGCCTTTGTGATATTCATAGATACAATGGAATAAGTGTAGATATGAAAAGACAGGTAGTAAGCTATTTGCAGGATAACAGGTGAAAATAAAGGGAAAAACCATCTAAGGACAGGTAAGCTGTAACATATACATTTTTGTATGCCTTTCTTCCAGGTTCAGGGCATGCATGTGATTGGACACAGCACAATTTCAACAGCGGATTTCAGCTAATGATTTTGGCTGAAGTCGGTTGATTGGCTGTGGTCAATCACACATTATGTGTTCTGTGTTTACAAAAATGTACTGTGAACAGCACACATTACACATTGTTAGGCACACAGTTAACCCTTTGGTTGCCCCTAGATGTTAACCCCTTCCCAGCCAGTGTCATTAGTACAGTGACAGTGTACAGTATCAGCACTGATCACTGTATTAGTGTCACTATTGATGTCAGTGTACCTCCCAGTCAGCTTCAACTAGCGCCAGATTGCCCGACACACTACTACAGTCCCACTATAAGTCGCTGATCACCACCATTAATTGTATTGTGTCATACCTGTGTAAATTCCAGTATATATACACATCATAGTCTGTAGACACTATAACTTTCACACAATCCAATTAATATGCACTTACTGGGATTTTGTTTTTGCCAAAGACACATTAGAATACATTTTGGCTTAAATTAGACTTTTTTTTTTTTTTATTGGATATGTTTAATAACAAAGTAGTAAATATTGCTTTTTTTCTCTAATAATATTGGTCTTTTTTTTTGTTTCTATCACAAAAAATAAAAAATCCAATGGTGATCAAATACCAAAAGAAAGCTCTATATGTGTGATTAACATGATAAAAATTTATTTGCATACAGTGTTGCATGACCAAGCATTTGCTAGTTAACATAGCACAGGGCTGAATAGCAAACAAAATGCTCTAGTCATGAAGGGGTTAAAACCTTTCCAGAGCTCAAGTGGTTAACTTTCTCTAGGTCACAAAACAACACTACAAATTTACAGTTTATAATTTTAGATTTATTGATTTGGAAATGCATTGTGCACAGATCACGTGTCTTTTACAAGGCAGTAGGTTTCCCCTGCTAAAAACTCTTGTACATTATACAGTGAATAAGTCCAACTTGTATTGCAATGGCTATAAGCAACATTCCACCAAGAGACAGTTTGCTTTGATTACAGATGGATGTGGAGCTAGAATCCATTCAATACCATTCAGCAGAGCTGAACAGAATGCTTACATTCAGCATTATTGAGCAGAATTGGAAATATGGAGTCATCCTCCACAGCAGCTGTTGCATTTGTATGTTGACTTTTCTAAATGGAAGGCATGAGATGAAGCTGATAGGTACGTATCACTAAATTCAATTCCTTTCTGTCTGGTGGAACTTGTGTGTTGAGAATTTTATTGTTCAGTTCTCTTGCAGCTACATCTGGTTGAGTGTACTTCATATGATCCCATGCTTGTTGTAGACCAGGGGTCTCCAAACTTTTCAGTGTAAGGGGCACATTGTATATTTTACAAATATTTGCAGGCCAGAAAATAGTGAACTCCTAAGTGAATGGGTCCCCCTTACATTAGGATAACTATCAGAGTCCCCTTCTACATTGGGGTTCCTGTCAAGAGTCCCCCCCTACATCCCAAACCCCATCCATAAGAGTCCTTCCTTACCTCAGGGTCCCCATCAGAGTGCCCGCATACATCAGGGTCCCCAACACAGTTCCCTCATTACATGAGTGCCTCCATTAGAGTCCCTTTTACCACTGTAAGGCTCACAGCAAGACTATAGCTGCAGGTCAGGATATGCGATCTGGACAGAGGAAGATCCTAGTGATCCTAGCAAGAGGATGATGACAACAAAGCAGGGGGGAACCTGTGCTGGAGACTGGTAAAGGCAGGGGGACCATAGGCATCCTCTACTGCCCTTAAATCCCCAAACTCTGCACATTGAGGATATACCACTGACTCTAAGGCCTCATTCACACTATGGCGTATTGAATCGCCATGATTCTGCCCACGATTTTGCTAAAATAAATTACAGTGCAATTACGGCAAACCGCATTGTTCGAAGCGTGTTGCTCAAAAGAAGTTCAGGAGCTTCTTTTGGGCAACACGCTTTGCATGATTTACCGTGCGACAATTGCTGCAGAACCGCACTGCGTTTTAAGGTGCCATTAAAATGAATGGCACCTGAACATGCTGTTGTGCAATTTGTTATTTTAGCAAAGTGTTTTGAAATCATGGGCAGAGTCACGGCGAATCTGCTTGCGATTCAAAACACCATAGTGTGAATGGGGCCTAACTGCAACTCGGATGTGACTCAAGAGCTGTAATTTGTAGACCTCTGTTTTAGAGCTGGATGAAGACTGGATCTAGAAGTACACAGTGCTACATTTCTATATAGGGGGGCCACTGCAGGAAGGACATCCTCACTGATCGATATTACATCAGCATTTTACTTGCAATATATAGCATTTCAGCACTGCAAAAATGGACATGACTAAAACAGAATAACTACACTAACAAATGAAGCGCCATATTTTGATCCAGCAATAAAGACTTGTGCCAAATTATAACTACATGATTGGATAAAATTGCTGCTTTTCTAAAAGCTATACAGAAACATACATGTAAATATATGCAATATTGATGGTATCCCTTTAGATATAAAAAAAAGTCATGTTTTCTGACCTAAAAATAAATTATAATTTTAGGGACTGCTTTTAAAATCCTGGGATGCCTGAGAGAACGAAACCCAAAAGCCTTTTTTTTTTTTAAAAATAATACTGGATTAGAACAATTGTATGGTTTAATACTACTAATAAATATAGTAAAATGCTGCAGATGCTTGAAAGATGTGTATTATTAGTTTGGAGTGTTTTAATTTACAGCTACTTTTTCTATTTCCACTGAGAAGGAAGGCTTTGCAGATTGCAAAGTTGGTTTAATTAAAATCCATACAATGGTAGAATAGGTCACCCATACGGGTGACATACAAGTCAAAGACTTCTCATGATACAATAGGTAAGCGGGGGCAAAAATATAGGTGTTTTATAAAAGGCCATAAGCAAACCATTCACCGTTAAAAGAAATATAAGTTTCACCATTCAGCTGAGGATGTCTCTAGCTTCCAGCTAAGTGTCTCTGGACAGGTGCAAGTCATCCATTTACAAATGATTCTGTTATTTGTTATGACAGAATTTTCTCCTTTAGCTGCTATACAACCGAGAAGAACAATGAAAAAAATTGTAGTGTCAAGGGATTACACGTGTATTAAGAGACCAGTTAGATGGAAGATATTTACAGCTGGACAGAGAAACTTGTGCAGTCTTACTGGAAGTATTGTACAACTAAAATATTCAGTATTCTTTAAATAAATGATCAGTTTTATTAAAGAATGATTTTATTTGATGTTAGCTAACATATTTCTATCAAGACTTTTGTCATAATGCCTCTGTGCATAGTTTTTGTACCCTATTTAGAGAGGATTTACAGTACTTTGCACCTTGCCTCACAAGCTTTACATTTCTCAAACAATTTATGACCAATATACAAGCAAGCATTCTAAAAAGACAGGCACAGAGAGAAAATAAAATATCTCAAGCTTTTCTTCTACCCACCACATGCTTGTGTAACAACAGTCAGCATTCTTAAATTATCAAATCAAAGTTGAAATGGTGATGCTGTACTGAGTTGTAGTTCAATAAAAGGTGTCTTGATGAGGGGACAATGCGGGATTGGTGCCTTGGTCATGTTGATAACATAAATGCATGGATCTCCGACCAGTGAGGATGGATTCTTTGGTATAATGTGAAGCAGGGAGGTGAGGCGAGGTTGGATAGGAAAAGTTAGCGAGACAGAGGTGTCTGTTTCAAGGAGATAAGCACGGATCTCATGCGAGACACATCTTTTGACTGCTTGCTGCTCTTGGGGTTGAAATCGCAAAGTCGGGCAACACGTTCCCATTCAGTGCCGGTCTCCTCGTCCTTGGTCTCAGAGGCAAGAACCTCATCTGATGCTCTGGTATATAAAAACAGTAGAGAGGTTAGTGACAATACCTGTGCACATCGCCAGTCAGCAGGCTTACTTCCAAAAATTGCACGTTTAAGGTAAATCTTTCCAAGGAGAAATATGGGAGCGTCCACTGTCAACCCCTCTTCTAAAAACTCTACTTGCCTACCCATTTTGCACCAAAGTGAAACATATACACAGGGACACGCATAGGAAGATTGTTTTGATAAAACTTATAAAAAGGTGCCTTGTGATAACTGGTGCTATGCAATACTTTCAAAAGGTTTAGCACAAGGGACAGTACTTACATTAAATGAGAAGTGTCCCTTGTGCTGGTGTCTGCTTTCCTACCTGAACTCTTCCGTCCTCTGACTTCCTCCCCATTCCCCTGTAGCAGTAAACTGCCCTTTTGACCCACCTCCTCCATTCAAAGAAGCTTTACTTTAGCTTCCAGCAATGGGAAGTGCCCTTTTGGCCCACCTCCTCCATTCAAAGAAGCTGTACTTTAGCTTCCAGCAATGGGAAGTGCCCTTTTGGCCCACCTCCTCCATTCAAAGAAGCTGTACTTTAGCTTCCAGCAATGGGAAGTGCCCTTTTGGCCCACCTCCTCCATTCAAAAAAGCTGTACTTTAGCTTCCAGCAATGGGAAGTGCCCTTTTGGCCCACCTCCTCCATTCAAAGAAGCTGTAATTTAGCTTCCAGCAATGGGAAGTGCCCTTTTGGCCCACCTCCTCCATTCAAAGAAGCTGTACTTTAGCTTCCAGCAATGGGAAGTGCCCTTTTGGCCCACCTCCTCCATTCAAAAAAGCTGTACTTTAGCTTCCAGCAATGGGAAGTGCCCTTTTGGCCCACCTCCTCCATTCAAAGAAGCTGTACTTTAGCTTCCAGCAATGGGAAGTGCCCTTTTGGCCCACCTCCTCCATTCAAAGAAGCTGTACTTTAGCTTCCAGCAATGGGAAGTGCACTTTTGGCCCACCTCCTCCATTCAAAGAAGCTGTACTTTAGCTTCCAGCAATGGGAAGTGCACTTTTGGCCCACCTCCTCCATTCAAAGAAGCTGTACTTTAGCTACTAGCAATGGGAAGTGCTGTATGAATGGAGGACAAGCAGATGAATGAACAGTCTGATTCCTCCATTTACAGTTAGCTTTTCTTTGCTGGAAGCTATACTACAGTGAATAAGAGATGGATACACAAAGGGCAGGCATAACCGGCACTCTTGACAAGTGCCTATGACTTGTCCAGTGGCTCATAATAAACCCCACAGCACCAGAAGATTACCGCTGTGGGAGAATAGGGGGGGGGGGTGAAACGAAGATTCCAACAAAGACAGCAAGCACTAGCACAAGGAACACTTCTCATTCAATAAAAGTACCATCCCTTTTTCTTATTTAAAAAAAAATTAACTAAACTAGGGCTTTAAATTGTTACCACACAATGTGGACTGAAGTGTTATGGATTCTCAACATGATTTGAATAAACTAAAGCAGAGCATGAGTAGACTGACCCTTCAACACATGGTAAAATTCCAGCATAAAAGGGCCAGGAACCTAAAGCAAAAACAGATGCCTATACGTCCTCATGCACACTGGGCATTTTAAAAACGCAAGTAGCGTTAGCTGTATAAAGTCATATTAAAAACGCAAATTTTTCTGCATTTTTTAGTGTTTTTGCATTAGTGTTTAGCCATGTTTTCCCGCATTTGCATTTTTTACCCCAAAAAATAACATTTTGGCAAAAAAAAGCCCTAAAATGGTGTTTTTTTCCACATTTAACAGCATCAGAGCGTTTTTACAGCTAAAAACCTCATCTAGAAACCCACTAGTTCTGAGATTTTTTTTCCAGCCAAAAAATGCTGATTAAAGCCTATGTGTGCATGGACACATAGGATAACATGGGGAATTTACTGGCTATAGAAAAAAAAAAAAAATCGCCAAAAGACAAAAACAGCAGCTTTAAAAAGACTAAAAATGATAGTGTGATATCTAAAATCAGCATATAATGTGATATAACCTTTTACTTTCTCATTATCCATGACCTTAGAGAAAAAAAAGTCTACCATCTGGAGTTGGCCATATGGTCCCTCCTAAAGAGATGGAAATTCCAGTGTAGTTACTGATTGGCTGGCTTTACATGAAAATACATTTCCCAAAATACATGATTATATTCAATTGTCCAATTACTTTTGGTCCCTTGAAAAAGGGGGAATGGCTACTCTTAAGAGCTGTAATTCCTAAACTCTACCTCCAATTTGGATGTACATACCTTCAAATTAAACCTGAGAGTGTGCACTTTCAGCCCATATCCATTATATAACTATAGCTTGAACATGTTTTGGTAAATACCTGAAAAAATCTAAAATTGTTCCTGTGTCCAAATATATATGGACCTAACTGTACATCTCAAATTGCTGAAAAAGTTCATATTGGTTCTGGTAGAAAGGTGAGCAATGGAAGAAGGTAACCTGGTCTGATTCAAGAACGGTTTAAGGAACACAACAACAGGTATGGGATATGTGGGATGTGCTAGAAAAAACACGTCTGATCCATGGAAGCCCCACCTCTCAACTTACAGGACTTAAAAGATCTGTTACTGACAGTCTGGTGCCAGATACCATAGGATATCTTTAGAGGTCTACTGGACTCCATGCCTCAGTGGGTGATGGTGAGTGGTCATAATGTTATAGCTGATTAGTGTACACTCACTGGCCACGTTGTTAGGTACACCTTGCTAGTACCAGGTTGGACCCCCTTTTGCCTTCAGAACTACCCTAAATTCTTTGTTACATAGATTGAACAAGGTGTTGGAAACATTCCTCAGAGATTTTGGTCCATATTGACATGAGTTACTATTACTTTTCTGTCATCTCAAACCAGTCTGCCCATTCTCCTCTGACCTCAACAAGGCATTTTCGTCCACTCAACTGTTGCTCACTGGATATTTTCTCTTTTTCGGACCATTCTCTGTAAACCCTAGAGATGGTTGTGTGTGATAATCCCAGTAGATCAGCAATACTCAAACCAGCCCGTCTGGCACCAACAACCATGCCACGTTCAAATCACTTACATCCCCTTTCTTCCACATTCTGATGCTCAGTTTGAACTTCAGCAAGTCGTTTTCACCATGTCTAGATGCCTAAATGTATTGATTTGCTGCCATGTGATTGGCTGATTAGCAATTTATGTTACCAAGCAATTGAACAGGTGTACCTAATAAAGTGGCAGGTGAGTGTATATAGGCTGCCACTGCCACTGGATTCAATTGATAGCCAGGACACAAATATTTCCAGAAACAAATGTAAGCTTTAGCAGCAATCATGTTCTCTCATGACCGCATCATGATGTTCTCTCATGATATGCATCTCTGCTAGATCATGCTCTTCTGAGCCCTTGAAAGTTATAAAAAGCCTGGTGCCAAAGTAATCCTTTGAACTCAACCCATACCTGAGATAAACTTTGGATGGAATTATATATATATATATATATATATATATATATATATATTTTGAATACATGAAATGTAATTTTACCTAAAATGGAAAAAAAACTAACAAGTTAATAAACAGGGCACCAAACAGTAGTGCCATATAAATCCATTTCAGATGTATCGCTATATACCAACTAGACAGACAGACAGACCAAGCTATGAACAAGAGACTGATTATAACATATGACCATTATACTGTGATAACTGTATTCTTATCAGCAGCAGAGAGATTACATCAAGAATTAAGAGATAAAGGATAGAATAAAGAGAACATACACGTAGCCAATGACTTCAGCATTAGGCTGCTGGTAAAATGCTTTGTCCGCAATCCTGGGTTAACAGCGTGCAAAAGACAATAAGAGAGAAAGACATGAAGGAGAAAACAGATAGTTAGTGCATACTAATGTTAAAGTTAATGCAGCTGTGATCAAAAAGCAAACTTGGATTTTAAGGGCCTGTTCTGCCATGCTAAAATACACCTGCTTAGCACGTCAAAAACGCATGTAAAATAACCTCCTTTAAATGCTATGTAACTGGACGAATGTTACTGATTCAAACATGAACCACTACACTTGAAGATTTTCAAATGAACATTAGAATGAAAATTCTTAGTACATCTGATGACCTGACAAACGTCGCTTGAAAGTGCTTCAACATTTGTTTGCGTTTAACATTCGATTTTAGAGTAAATGGATTTACCCCAAACAAACTGCAACCAATTATTTGCAAGTAATCTCTGCATGAGCACTTACATAAAATTGGTCACAAATAGCTGTCAGCATTCCATTCCTTTTAATAGGGCTGCCCACCCGCAGCTAATCACAAGGAACCCACGCTGCAGCTAATCACAAACCGCCCCATTCCCAAGTGTGAATGGGGCCTTGGTTTTAATTTTTCAGGCTTCTTTATTTCCTTTTTTTCTACCTGGTAATACTGACAGTGGCACACTTTCTCTCCTAGGGTGACATTGCTCCCTCAACTTACTGTATCTAAAGAAGAGCAGCATTGTCACCATAGGACAGAAGGGGGAGGTAGGCCACAGAGGTAAACTCTGATAGGTTAACCAATAGCAGCTCACAGGACAGCATTGGGTTTTTGCACTTTTTTGAAAAGATATAATAAGGAGCATGTAAGTTCATTGTTAGGATTTACATACACTTTAGGATCACTGGAATCACTGTAGGAGGAATGCTGTGCTTAAACTCACCCCCCACCACTGACCACAATTGTTCGTAATTGCAGAACAAAGTCAGCAACAAGGAGTTCTTATTTCTGAAAATTCTTTGACATGTGTTATGACTGTTAGTCCTCATGCACACGGGACGATTTTTAAAGCTGCTGCTTTTGGCTTTTGACGTTTTTATCTACAGCTAGTAAACCCCCCAGCATGATATCCTATGTGTCCAATGCACACATAGACTGTAATCAATGTTTTTTGGCTGGGACGTTTTTTGGCTTGAAAAAAAACCCAGGACTAGTGGGTTTCTAGAGGAGTTTTTTAGCTGCAAAAATGCTCTAACTCTGACAATTGCTGTAAAACGTGGTAAAATGTCGCAAACCAGTGTTTTTGGACTTTTTTTGACCAAAAATAAAATATTTTTTTGAGGGTAAAAAAAAAAAACGCTTAGAAAAGGAAATGTGGAAAAACGTGGCAAAACGTAGCTAAATGCTAAAAAACGTCCAGTGTACATAAGGACTGAGAGCAATATTAAAACATGAAATGGTATATCTACAAGGTGATTAACCACTTGCCGACCAGTCGTGTACCTGGTATGTCACCGGTCTTCAAGTGGTTGTACCGGGATAATGCAGCTGCAGGCATCATCCCGGTACCATTATTTAGTGCTGTTGGTTGTCTTTCTTGCTATTAAAAGCGACGGGGGAAGGGGGGGTTAGGTGACCTCCCCTCCTGCAGCGTTCCGCTGCTTTAACGTGATCACCTTTCTGGTTTACTCAAAAATATACGACGCCATTTTTAAAAAATAAAAGCATTCAATCACGAAAAATTTACGTTGTTTGTTGGGCCTGTGCAATTTTAAAGTGTGACATGTTTAGCATCTATTTACTGGGCATAACAACATATTTTATATTTTACAAAAATTGGGTTATGTATTGTCTTTATTTGCATTGAAATAAAAAAAAAGTGTATTTTTTCCAAAAAATTGCTTTTGAAAAACAGCTGCACATAAAATAAAAAAAACGCTGTACATAACATAAAAAAATTGCAAAACCCAACAATGTATTCTCTAAGGCCTCTGCTTTAAAATATATATATAATGTTTGGGGGTTTTAAGTAATTTTCTAGCAAAAATAAATGATTGTTACATGTAAACAAAAAATGCCAGAAAAAGCCTAGGTCCTCAAGTGGTTAATTCAAGATGAATTTCATTTTCCTACAGAATTCAGTAAAAGTGTGAAGAATAAAAATGCTAGGCACCACAAACCTTTTATCCTTCCTGAGGACACAATGCAGCTGAACAATACTGCCCGACCCATAACCTGCCCCAACCTGTTACTGGACAATGAAAAAGTAGCAGAGATCTTTCAGGTTAGCACTCCTTGCAGGGAGTCTCTAGTATTAAGCTGGCCATACAAGGTTAGTTTTTCCATTCACTCAGGGCTGAAAAAAAAAATAGAACCAAACATGTTCCTCCATCCACACAAATGAGGTGGGTAGAGGAATCTCCTACTGCTGGAACATTGTATTCTGATAGCTGCATCTCCCTTCGACAGAAAGTGATAAAACAACCAAACTCGAACAGGGGAACACACACACTGATCAAAATTCTGCTGGACCAAATGAATGAAAGTGTATGGCCAGCTTTAGTTGGTCAGCATGGTACAAAGCAGTGGAGCCTTGACTGGTTTACAGTATTGCTCCTTCCTCTACCAGACTGAATGCTGCTGTAAAGAGGTTTACAGGCAGCTGTTACGAACCAAGATTCTGGATCTTTTGCCTGCTCTGTGTAGAAATATGTTTAACAATTGTTAATGAGACAATAATTGAATTAAATGTCTTTTTATATCAGCCGAAGTTTCTGCTAATTCCTAAACTGGACTGAATCAAGATGTCTTCATTCATTCCTGTTCAGCTAGTTTCAGGTATCTCCACATAGCACCAGCTCTCCTCTACTGCACTCTGGGAGCCTCATCACCTACAGTGCTCTATTATGCAGATACTGACTTTAATTAGAAGAATTGAACCCCTTCCTGCACTTCACTACTGTCCAATCACACTTAGTGAGGTGCCTGAAAATGATCCAACCCCAACTTGCTTTAGTTCTTTGATTAAATCTGAACTCCAGGGAATTTAAAGTCTTTCCTTGCAATAGGCCTACCCCCACATTGCAAGGGTTACCTACTAATTTAGTCTGCTTCAGGGGTCTCCAGACTTTCTAAACAAAGGGCCAGTTTACTGTTGTTCAGACTTTAGGGGGTCTGACTGTGACCAATGGAAGTAAAAAAATGCCCAGTGTCAATGTCTTAGGTTTGACGGTCAGTGGAGTAAAAAAATTGCATAAGTAACGTGGTCAGTAGGAGGAGGAATAGTGCCCCATCATTGGTGTCAGTGGAAGGAATAGTGCTCCTATCATTGGTGTCAGTAAGAGTAATAGTGCCCCCATCACTAGTGTCAGAGGTAGAAATAGTGCCCAACTGTTGGTGTCAATGGAAGAAATAGGGTCCTATCGTTGGTGCCAGTTGGAGGAATTTTGCCCAACAGTTGCTGGCAATGGAAGGTATGGTGCCTCATCGTTGGTGTTAGTGGGAGGAATAGTGCCTTAGGGCTAGATAAAGGCAAACAAAGCACTGCATCCAGCCTACAGCCTACAGTTTGGAGACCACTGGTGTAGGGCAGTAGTCTCCAAACTGTGGCCCGTGGGCTGAATGCAGTCTTTTTCTTGCCTTTACCCGGCCCTTGGGGCAATATTCCCCTCACTAATACAAGGCACTATTCCTCCTACTTGTACTAGAGGCACAATTACTTCCACTGACACCAACAATAAGGCAACATTCCTTCCATGACACCAACGATAGGGCACTATTCCTTCCACTGATACCAACGATGGGACACTATTCTTCCCACTGACACCAACGATGGTACACTATTCCTCCCACTACTAACCACAGGAGCTATGTAATTGTTTTTCTCCCACTGACTCTTGGATATTTTCAACTCTCACTGGCCACATTCAGTAACCCCCTCCCCCAAAGTCTGAAGGACATTAAAATGGCCCTTTGTTAAAAGTTTGGAGACTCCTGGTCTAGGGGATGCAAAAGCACTTATCTGATTCTCCGCTCCCCCAACAAATGGTGCTCCATGACACTCTGCCAATGGACTGTCCCTTGGCATCCTCACATCCAATGCATCAGTCTTGATGATGTCAGAGGACCTTAGAACAGACCACCAAAGTGCAGGAGGGGGGCTGCAGGGATTGGTCTACCAAGTAAAACCACTTTTCTCGGTTCCCTAGGCATAAACGAATAGTTTACCCCTGCAGTGCAGGTGCACTTTTCCCAGAGTTCAGCTTTAAATTAACATTCGCAGTTTATCTCTAGTATTGTCACTAAAATACAACCAGCATTACTGAAGGTACATTCAGGTTTATTAAAGTAAATGTAAACCTAATCACTAAACCTTATATTCACTTTACCATGCTAACATATTGCAAAACTCATACTCAGTATTTCTAAATTTGTAGCTTACATTCAAATAGAGCCTGGTGATTCTGTCCTAAAGGTCCTTGTTTACATATTTCCTGTTATAGGGTGACAATGCCCTGTCCATATTTCCAAAATGTGATCCTGCGTTGTTACCATACCAGATGGGTTTTCAACAAGGGACTATATGGTTGTTTTGGTACATTATGAGGGCATGGTCTATTGTTTTGACCATCAGGAAATCCACCCTGAGAAATGCCATACATTCACTACTGGAATGCATGCAGGTAGATGCGATGTAGCTGAAAAAAGGATGTAGGAGATCAGCAGTACTGAGATGCAATAAAGGTGAAAATAAGTATTTTTTTAATGCCAATACACAAAGCTTGAGCAAGCTAAGGCAGGCCATACGTGAGCCTTTTTTTCTTTAATCCAGCATGTTGAACAAAGAAAAAAGAACCAATTCCCCACCCACACATTTGAGGAGGAAGGGGGAATCACTTCCAATTAGCTATTGTATTCTGCCGGCAGGGAGTCAGCAGAATAGGATGATCAGCTACAACCAGCGGCACCGATTGCTTGATAAAAACCTGACAGGCTAGTAATACACAAGTTGACCGATAGATCAACTTTTGTACAACCGGGCAGCCCATACATGGATTGAGATTCAG